ACTACGACTAAAACTAAAGATGATTCAAAACCAAACTCAAGTGCTCATTTTCAGAAAATGAAAACTGAAAGTGTAAACTAAAAATATATCCGTCTTCATTCCCTCTTTCCCATATCTTACTCTTTGCCATCAGTGTTGGGACATAATGTGTACAGTATGGGCCGGATTTACTAAAGGTTTGCGCGAGTAAAAACGTGTGCAAACTTGATATCAGCAGCAAATTAACACGTAAGCTGATCTGCTAACAGTGTGCACGCAGAATGACGTCTTCCAAAAGTGCAAGATAGCACCTGTTGCTCATTTACTACTTTTGCCTTAATGAATATGCAATTTGGGGCGTTTTTTTTTGTGCAAAGTAACGGGAGGGTAACATGCAAATACATTTATTTACTACATGCAATGGGATCTAACAAGCCTAACGATCACCAACTGTTCACAGCGCACCGGTCGTAATCGAGACACAACCCATTGTGGGTATCAGAGAAGCAATGTGGCGTTGGGGCGTACAGGGCCAGGAGATCTCGGAACGACCGGGTACGGTGTGGACGGTTGGTGATCGTTCCCTCTGGCTGGATGAAGCACGATCTGCTGGCATTTCCTCGCGTCTGGGTCGTTCCAGCACACTGTATCTGTTTCTGCTGGGGTTTCCCAAAGCAGTTTTTCAGGTGTGCTGTCCCAAGTACTTAGTGTAATCTCAGGCAGGACGGGCAGGTACAGACGATTTCCACTGAGTGAAACAAACCGAGGTTTTTACGCAGTGACTGCTTTCCCTCCTGACTCTCCATGGCGGAAACCATTAAAACACGCAGAACACTCATTTAAATACTGACACCTCTGTTGCGTTTTCTCCTGCTGTCATCTACGCAATAATTCTACAATTGCACGTGCAACATTTTAGAACGCACACGCAATTTAGTACTCTTTATATGGGGTGTTAGTAAATCTGGCCCAATGGGTGCTTATGCATAAAGACATTTTCGATTTGTCATTACAGGTGATATTCTTATAGCTTTGGGTACAAGTATCCCAGCATGCATTTCACACCAACCAGAGCGAGGTCAAATGATAATGTTCCGAACTCATATTCATAGTGGTATATTGGAATTTATTACTTTTTTTTCCTACTTCAAATTATTCCCCCATAGAACTTTGTCAACATCTGTTTTATCTAAAAATATAAATTTCACTGTTTATACTTCTCACTTTTGGTGGAGCTGATTTTACTACCATAAAACTTCAATTAATAGCTGAGTACCAAATAGCCCATTTACTGGCCTGGAACACATTTTGAGAAATAAACGCAGGTCTCCATTAAACGCCTGGTCTGGTTTTTATATTACTTCTTTGGATGTATAAAACCTCTTAAACCCTGCGGGGTCGCCGCTGCTCAGATTGTTAATACAAATATTAATGTTAAAACATATGATCAATGTGTCAGTATGAACATGCTGCACTTCGTTAGATCGGTTAGATTCTCCAGGAATCAATCGTTCAGTTCATTTAAGGGAAACAACGAGCCCCAAAGTCTAATTCTTATAGATTTACCGGTGTAACCTGCATGGTACAAGAGATTAAAAGGAAATAAAAATGCAGACTCCCGTTACCTTTGAAGAGCTCGTTAAGCCCGTTATATGTCCGTTCCTTGATTATTTATCTTCCTTTAGTCTGTTAGGGTCCACTGATCAAAACAGCTTTAAATAAAAATTAATCCAAGTTGTGAATCCTGTCATGTGAAGTCCGTCGCTCTCTGTCTGCTAACTTCTGCCACACTTCTCTCATCTGTCTTGTTTTCCTTACATTGCTGCCTACAAAATAGAAGTGCAGAAGCCGTCTGTCGGAGCTAGATCAAATGAATGATGTGTATTTGATTTAATTTGAGTTTTTATACAAGTAATATTCATACTGTTTGAAATAAATAAACTGTTAAGCCTATTTCAGTTTTGTGCGAGAGGAATTAAAGGCAGGGTCAATTCAGTGATTTTTGCAAATAAAAGCCTGTGCTATTATTCACAGCTTTATAGTATTAGCTTTACCATCCTCGGCTAACGCTGTGTCTGGATGGTGGCGTGTTTATTCTAATACCAAGAAGTGAAATTCTCATGTGCAATTTATATAATTAAAGTAATACTTGGCGTCCGTGTAATATTGCAATACTGTGCTGCATTAATTTTTTTCCCCCCACTCCCTGCTGATGTCCCTAGTGCAGCTTTTAGTGGAGTGTGTCCTCCTGTTCTCTGGTGTTTGGACTCCTGACTTCAACTTGACAAGTTCAAACTCCTGGGAATGCAAGTTCAAACTAAGGTCTCTGTATTGAGAAAAGTCTGTTCTTTTTACCTTAAGCCTTCTGCGATATTAATGAGTTTAACATTCACCGGCTCCATATCTGCGCCAACATTCACCCACTTTGGCAGTAAATTTACAATAGGTGGAGTTTCTCTCAGACGTTTCTCCCCAAATAAAAGTGTTCAGCAGTTAATTAGTGTGGATCAGTAAGCTTTTAAAACAGTAGTGTCTCTATGACAACATGAGAAACCTTTGCCCACATCAACAGTGTTTCAGCCAACCCACGTTGTCTCAGACCAGTCAACAACATCAGGCTCTGACCAACTCAGATCCCTAATGTGAGCACTCAGGTGACGGCTGAAATTCTTATGAAGTTGTAACCGTTTTATTACCATTTAATACTGATTGAGTGTGTACAAGGAGGCAACAACTGGAAGTGTTTGCCAGAAGAGCTTAGAAGAGTTATTTCCATTTCCAGCAGTATTTTAGTTGGTTGTTTAGTCTGAGGTTATTTGCTTGACATTTCTGAGAGGTTTTGAAGTAATAGCTGGCAAATATTAGACACTTGTAAATAACCTGACGTGGCAGAGAAACACACAGGGTGGGAGAGATGTGGGAGAGTGAGCGTGAGAAAAGCAGAGGACGTGTGTCTCAGTTAATGACTTCCATAGAAATTAGATTGTTAATAAATTAGGCAACTTCTGTCAGTCAATGAAATGCAACGACTGTGGTTGATGAGGGAGAGGAATGTTGCGTCAGAGATTGAATGAATCGTCCAGCCACGTCTTTCACTGCTCTTATCTCTCTTCTTATCCAGTCTGTACGGACACACAGCTGTGTCTACTCCCGTAAAGGTCAGTTATTTAAGGAGCTGAAGGTCAGAGAGGTCAGTGGTCGTAGTCATTGTTCGGCCTCTTATCTGTGCGTAAACATGAGGGAAGACTTTGTTTCCCGGGGGACAGTCGCCCTTATGTGTCAGTGACCAAAAATGTTAAATCAGAAAATGGGAACCTAAATCACATGAAAGAGTTAAACTTGTAAATATATATGCCAAAGACTGTTTAAGGGAAAGAGACACGCCACTTAACGAATCCTGAATTGAATTCTATGGGGAAAGTTGTATGTACATATCCTGCCCCTCCTGCAAGAAAGCCAAGTCTGTTAGTGTCCCCCATCCCCATGTCTGCCCCCCAGTCCAGCCCAGTGACAAATTAATACATAAACAAATGCAAAATAAAGAAGACAAAGCAGTAAAAAAAAAAAAAACCCAGAGAAGTCAGTGCACAGTTGAGGTTTGCAACTGTTACCAATGATGTGGTGGATGCAAAGAGCAGGTGTGTGACCACTTCAGATGCACTACATGTCCACCATAAAATACTGCGTTTAAGGTGCCAGATTTGAAATACAGTACTTGCAACATGTTTTGGAAAATATTGTATAAATGTATACGGTATATGCAGACTTAGGGCTGGGCAATAAAACGATAATGATAAGTATCGCAATATAATTTTCCTCAATATCAATATAATGTTCAATATATCGTCAATAAATATTTGGTTTAATTCAGTTGAATCGCAAACAAATTAACACTTAAATTTTTTATTAAAATATTTATTTTGTTGAGGAATAGGGACTGAAAAAGATTTACTAGTCATATTTGTTTAAATATTTTTATCATAATAGTTTTGACCATAAAGATAGAGTCAAATCAGGTTTTAAACTTGAAAGAAATAATGATTTGACATTTATCGTGATAATTATCGATATCGAATGATATGAAATGTTTTTATCGTGATGACATTTTTGGCCATATTGCCCAGCCCTATACAGACTGTATCCAAAACGTCAGTTAGCATAAATTTACACAGAGGCCTGATCTTGTTAGTCTGAAGTAACTGCCCGGAGGCGTTACCAAGATGGCTGCCGAGTGGCGAGACTTGCCTGTAAAAGGACTTATGCAATATGGATTTGCTGTCTGCTGCGCACACCGGTGGCAAACCGCAGTCAGACTGGATTTATGTCTGATGGCGAGGTGCCACAGTGACCTCCTGTTGTTCTGTTAACTCACTGGTTAACTGTAATTTAAATCTCATCTGGAGTGTTGTCTTCTGAATTTTAAAGTAAGTGGCGTGAAGAGCTGCTTGTCCTTTTTAAATTTGTATCAATTTTTGCAGACGCTGTACTTTCCTTTTTTCATCAGCTCACTGCGGTGTTTACTTTTACGTAGAGGAAGTCATAAATGTTTTAGCTAATCTGATATGTAACATGCTAACACCAACATACAGGCCTATTTGTGAACCTATGTGACGACAGGAACAATTAAAGCCATTAAAGGCTACTTTTTTTTTTTTTACATTTGGGCAAATTTGCACCATTAAAAGTTTGTAGAGATATCTGTTAGCAGCTCCTGTCAACAGTGTACAGACGGCTATAACTGGATCACTATGAAACTGAAATAACTTAGAAACACGATGGTTCTCTGGGAAGTTCTACCAAGTGGATTCATGGATTTATCAGAGATAATGAAATCCTCGGGGAGTGTAAGACACACTGAATGATATCCATATGTGTTTCATGTCAGTGTGTTCAGATCCGACGCACCTCACGCAGTATCTCTGCAATCCCACCCTGGGTAGGCTTTTGTCTTTATGTTTTGTCTTTGTCCTGGTTAATATCCATGTCTGTCATAATGGTTATAATGTCTTCTACTCTTACAGTTCAGGTTGGGTTCTGTTTTGCTGAACGCTGTCCCAGAACCGGCTAAGGCCGTGAGAGAGTTACTGATTCTCAGTCTGCAGAGGGGAAATAAACTGGAGCGCCTCAACCAGAAACTAGAGGAGGAGAACCAGAGACTGAGACGAGAACAGCAACGCATCACTGCAGAGTAAACACACACAAAACACAGAATCACCAGAGTTCCCACTGCTCAAAACCAACATCAGACAGGGTTCGGGGATTATTTCCACATCGGAACAGCCCAGGAGTTTCATAAATTCTCTCAGGAAGGGTATTTTTAAGCATATTGATGACATTTAAAGCTGGTATTTTTTCTCAAATGACCACTTCCACCCAGCCGTAGTGGTTGATTTAGGCCTGATGCCTTACTCTGCTGAGTAGGAACATCTAAACACGTTTTTCCCTTTGTTGTAATAATAAAAATCTAATGTAACCACCATGGACATTTGCTAAAATACTATCGATTCTTGTACTTTTTACTTCACTGCATTTTTCTGACACGTATAGCTACTGCAGATTAAGCCTTTACATGTAAAACATGATTAATTGGTAGAGATTAAACAACCCAACGGTATCTAAAGTAGTTAAAAATAGGGGCTGCATTGACTTAATGCCTAAAAATATATTCATCAGTAACTATAATCAAATAGTATAAAATATGAATTATGATGTTATACATTATTATATCTTTAATTATTTTAAATACTGATAATACTTTTGTACATTTACTTGAGTAACATTTTGAATGCAGTATTTTTATAGTGTGGTATCGGTACTTTTACTTGAGTAAAGGATCTGGGTTGGTCTTCCACCACTGCATTCATCAAATATCTGAGATGTATCAGTGTTTAATTATGTTTGATTGTACAAAAAAGAGATTAAAATCCGGAAACACATGATCAGAATCAGAAATACTTTAATGATCCCAGAAGTGAAGCTCTTTGTCACATGATCCCTTGGTCATCAGTTCTTCACATGTTTTGAAAGTTAAGTGAAGTCCATGAAAATTAAGACTTTCTATGGAAATCTTGCACTCCGTCACAGTAAGGTTAAAATCACAAGTTTTAGTTCCCCTAAATCCATCACAGGGTTCCCACTGAGTTATTACCCAACTCCTCTAACACGGTGTGGGGAGGGGCGGTCTGCCTGCAGCTGTACGTCACCTTGAGCTATGAACTGCTGTCACAACAGTGTTATAGTGAGTTAATCACACCCGGCTACGTCTGAGGGGCCTCATATGACGCAACATACAGTCAACCCAATTCATTATGTATGTCAGTATAGAGCATAATGCTAGCGTTGTTTCAAATTGTCAACAAATAACATAAATAATAAAAGACCTAAAACAATTTGTCATTCCTGACTTCAGCTCTCAGCTCTGAGCTGATTGGTTCCTCCGAAAGACGTAAATCTTTAAAAACAGCTCACAAATACACAGTTTAATGTTTAAAAAGGATCAGTAATTTCTTCAAACAGCTGCTCGCTGTAGTTTCTATCAAACAAACAGAAAGAAATAGTGCATTTGTTGGGGACTATTTTCAGCGGCGGATGAATCCACATTTGGTGCTGTACGGAGTGTTTGGTGCAGCAGGAGGGTGTCTGTGTGACGGAGTCAGGATAAACTACAGTGTGTGTTCATGGTGATGAAGGAACATGTGACCCAGTGCAGCAGTGAGGCTCACTGATGGGTTTTAATAGTTTCTTGACAACAATGGAGGAAGAGGAGACATCAGGCAGAAAAATAAAGTCACCAGACGTATGCTTCAAGTCATCAGAATTAAACGGCACACATAATATTTAAGTGTCTTTTTGCTCTGAAGTCAATGCACAGGACTGCTCCCCTGTATGATTCAAGGCTTTGTAATCACTCCTCGACTGCACCATCCATCACTGATTATCGGTAGTAGTGTTACGTTGCTAGAGGGTTAACATTTGCGTCTTCCAGGAGAAGATTTTGGATGACCTCTAATATAGCGAGGAGTCTCTCAAGAAGACGTGCGACCTCCAGATTTTAATGTGTGTGTGTTTTGCTGTTTTAAATAATATATTGTAACTTTACATTTCAGGCTGAAGCGCTATGCTGGTGGCAAAGAAGCCCTGGAGGCAGAGCTGTACTCTCGGTTTGTCCTGGTCCTGAATGAGAAGAAGGCCAAGATCCGCAGTCTACAGGAAACTCACACACACCTACAGGAAACAAGGTATACCACAGCCTTTACCCCATGTGTCTCCTTTAAAACTGAAGCTTTCACATTATAACGTGAAGATTTCAGTACTTTTGTTATAAAGTTTTAAAAATATTATTGATGATATTCTTGTTGTATTTTGTAGGAAAGACCCCGATTAAATTCATGAATCAGCCCCAAGCTTGAAAAAAATCTCCCAGCCCCACTTTGAGCTGTCATTTCACCAGTTACACGTCCACCAACAGATCAACCTTTCAAGTTAACTGAAACTCATTGCAGTGAATAACCTTTACCCGACATGTCAGCTGCTTTCATCTCTTACACAATGGTGTAGAAGTTAGTAGGGATATGTCCCTCCCAATATCCAGAGACTACTGAATTGTTCCTATCAATCATTTTTATATAAAAATTTAAATATAACTGGGCAGCGCAGTGGTCTGCATGTTCTCCCCACCGTCCAAAGACACGCAGTCTCGGTTAATTGGTGACTTTTAATTGCCCTTCACAAGGTGTGAATGTGAGTGTGATGGAGTGGCGTGGTGTACCCCGCCTCTTGCCCAGTGTCAGCTACGATCCTCCTCAGCGTCTTTATTTCTAAAAACTGACAGGAGCTTCATCTTCAGCTGTATCTCTTACATAAACGTCTCACTGACATTTAAACAAAATGTAACTTTACTTTGTTTCTATCAAAACTTGTCAAGAGAAATGTTTCAGCTGCACATTTCCAGCTCATGTAAATGTACTTTTCTAGTTGCTTAATAAATTTCTCAACTTCTTGATTTATGTTCCCTTGATTACTGCAAGTCTCTGATTCATCTCTAAGTTGTGAAAGTCTTTGGGTTTAATTCATTTTTATAACAGTTTGGTGGAACTCTTTAAGAACATATTGTGTTTTATATTTGTGTGTTGTAGGAGTTCTGAAAAGGTGGGTTCTGTAAAATCAGACCGAACAGCCGGTCAGGAGGAGGATGACTATGGAGGTAGTACTGATGAAGAGCCAGAGGAAGTGCAGTCAACTCCAGCCTCCGCTTTATCGTCCCTGCGTAAGAGCTCATTTCTTTTAGTTGAGATTTCATTAATATTAAATTAGTGGAAATTCAACATTATTCACACATTGAGGCAAATAACAGAGGGAAGACTGCTAATCAACTGAAGTTGGTTTCCATGTAGACTTTACAGTCACTATTTAACTTCTTCAACTCTAGTATATCACCTTAGTTTATTGTATTAAGAAATCAACACAAAATCCTCTTCCACAATTTGTTTTAATTAGAATTAGGGCTGAACGATTAATTGCGTTTGCAATATCGCGATATGATAAAAAGAGATTTTCTAATCGCAAAGGCAGCGATTACTCTCTGGTCACGTGACACGTGAGAGTACAACAGTCTGCAGACGAAGCATCAACTTCGCACGTGACGCACGTGACGCACGTGACGCACGTGACGCTGTACCTTGACTTGTTGTTGTACAAAGTTCTTAAGCTTGACAGAAGCTGACACTACAGAAACTTTAGTGTCACACAGGGAATGAAAGTAGCACCCGCCACCCGCTGGTAACTTGGTGGTGGGTGAACCTAATTTCATCATAACACGGGCCCGACCCACAAGAAAGAACAGTGCATGTTTAATCGATCTATTAGATTATTTTCCAAAACCGTTCAGCCCTAATTAGAATATCAGTTTGAACTTTAAACAGGATTATATCAATAACAATATGTAAGTAACTTGTAGACACTGCACGGCAAATACCGCAATCAGGAAAGATCTCTGTTTTGACTCTCTTTTCTATAAGAAATTTTCTTGTACACCAACAACTCTTTTTACTCACAGATAGAAGCCAGTCTAACGGGTGAGATACCGTTTTTCATGTGGCCAATCCCTCCAATTGGTCCAACTAGTTATACAGTGGGGCTGAAATTCTCCGAGATCGGTTGTTGTTTGAGGTCACAACCCCTGATTTAATAATCACATTAAATGACTTGGCTGTTGGTTGGATTCCTGTCAAGTGAGAAATTTTTGTTTTGAGCAGTTCAGCTGTCCAATTTCTCACATGGCTTCTATAAAAAAGATCCATTAAAACCTGTTGTGAGCTTGTTTTAATATTACTGTAGTTGTGTTTTACATGATGTGGCTAAAATTTCAGCCTTGACACCAACCAAAACAGAACAGGCAGTCTGTATTTTACATCAATACCTTTCTTTCTTCTTTCTCACTTCCCGTTCATAATAGAGTTTAACTATACAGCGTTGCCTTTGTTGAGGATGCAGCCATCTTGTTTGAGTAAACTTTAAAGTACTCGTCAGGAGACAAAACCAACCTGGTGTTTCATGTTTCAGTCCAGTGTGAGCTCCACGTTGTGGCCGGTCAGTTGAACTGTACTGTGTGAGCACTAAGTCGGTTCCCTTTTAGTCTCAGATGTAGGTAGATCTGCTATCAACCGCAACATCTTCATGTGAGCTACAGTTGTTGTACTTCAACAAAATTACAGTTTTATGTTTTTGTTAAAATGAAAATGTGCATAAATGATGTTGGTTCTTAATGTATGTTTTGCCTTAAAGTTATGTTTTCAACATGTTTTGAGTTTTCCAGCAAAGATATTTCTGCCCAAAAGGGCAATTTAAGAGTTAAGAGTTCCTCCCCTCTGGTTAAAGTGCTGCTCCACTGATTGTAGGAGAATTCCCCAAATTGCCACACAATTTCCAGCCCTGTGTCAAAATCCCTTAAAAAAGGGGAACTTTTCCAGGAATATTAGTTATTATATTTGACGGTCAGTACCATGTCTCCATTATGCAATGTCTGCAGATTACTTAAAATCAGTGGTTCACAAACTTTTTCTGTCACGCCCTGCTTCAGAAGCCGAAAAAAGAAAAAAGAAAGTGGATAAAACTTTTAGCAATCATAAACAAATAAACATAATTCAGGTTAGCACAATAGCCTTGCTTGCATCAGAGCACTTTTATTTGTTTAAGTCACCACACTAATCCTATTTATGCAGCTTTAGATCTGCTCAACATCCACGACCCCCCTGAAGTGGCTCTTCACCCCCCCCCCCCATGAGAACCATTGCTTTAAATAGTTGTGGAGTGAGTTTAATGGATCATCTACAGAAAGCACCTGATTGTGTCATTAGAACGTGTATGTCAACATTAAATCCCATCAGGCAGAAAACTGCTGTTGCAGGTATTTTGCCTTTTGCTGATGGAAAACACCTGCAGTGACATCACTGATTAAGGTGTGGCCGAATATCAGACAGAGCAGTATCAAAACTTACTTCGCAACACTGCAAGTAGTGTTTAAAAAAATATATTTTTTGTAAAATAAGTTTTCCCATTTTCTAAAATATGATATTTTTGGGAGCTGTTGTCATGGTGCGTGTTTTCACCATCGCTGAGACTTTGTGTTTTTCATGCCTAGAAACTAACTATGACATCGCTGTTAAATCATGTAATGCAGAGTAGTGGGCCTCTGTGAAATGACATCCCACGTCACCTTTAAATACAAGCGGCTTCTAACCTTGACGTTACACTTCATCAACCTCTACACGTCTGCTCCCAGATGGCCGGGATATGATGAATCTATGGAGTGAAGGTGTGAATTACAGTGAGATGGATTTGGGCAGAACATAGGTTAACTATCATAGAACTGAATCGGGGACTTTCTGCCCTCCTCTCAGCTGTTTACATCCCTGATTTTTCCACTTTCTCACACGTTAAATCGTCCACAGCCAGGTTGGGTTTTACGTCAAGGCCTTTTCAGCAACGTAGGTGTCCCCGTCTCTCTGGGCCTTCCCCTCCGTCTGATGAGGAAAAGCTGGAGGGATTGTGTTGTTTCAGTTGCTACGACAGTGACTCAGACTACCTTGTGTTGCCAGTTAGGGCCAACAGATAGAGCAGAGGGGGGAGGCTTTAGGAAATCAGTGGTGTCATTTATGGGTGTGCTTTGTGCGGTATGTGTGGAGGCTGCTGCTGCTGTCGAGAGAGACATTACTGAAAGGTCACAACAAAACAATTTATTGTTGATGTCCTTTAGCCCATTCTGGCAAAGAAAGTGTGTGTGTATAAAAACATTAACGGTCCCACCCAGTAAAAGCAAAAAGGAAATTAATTTCTGTGCACTTTTTAGATCCTTTGGTCACCAACAACGATATAAAGTGTTGAGATTATCCATTTACAGCAAACGATCTGCCCAGATTTGTCCCCATTAAAGTGAAATAAAAGACATTTTTAAATGACACGTTATGAGCAAGAGCCATGATTCGCCGTAACCATGACAACATAAATATGAAACGTTTTTTTAAAGATGTATAAATATAAAAGCTAATGGACGAATAACTAAAAACAAGCTGCTTAAAGATATTACAAATTAAAAATGTCTCTGATAAAACAGTAGAGAAAACCATTAACAGAGAAAACACAAGCTGTACAATGTGCTTAACTGTCCTGCAGCCATTTCTCTGCCTCGCTGACACCTGCTTTGTTATGGCTTTGCTTGCTTGTGGCGTTTTGTGCTCAGTAGTTTTACAGACTGCTTTTACAGACCCGAGTCCATCTATTCACAGAAAACTAAGTGGGAACCAGTCACCGAACATAACGGAGAGAAATACATCAACTGCAATTAATTTAAGAAAAGGAAGAACGTGTAATTTTAAGTATGTTGCCACATTTTCCGCCTTCGTCCTGCTCCTGCTGTTGGCTTCAGCCGCCATGTTCCTCTGCCCTTTGATCCCAGGAATGTGTTGATTTGCAGGTGGAGCGCCATCTGCTTCTTTGTTATTCCATACATATACTCGTCCTGGTAATCTCACTTTTAAGAACAGACGGCGAGAAGAGACGTGATGAAAGTCAGACGGCTGAGGACAAGAGTCACAAGCAAATGTTGGCAGCCCCAAACTGTAGACGAATAACTTGTGAAAACAACTGCACTCTTGAAAACTTTTACGTTACTTACTGTTCATCCTAAATGTTTCTTTCTTGCTTTAAAAATACTGTTTATGCAAAAACCTGACTGACTCATGTTGTCCTCAGAATCTTCTACTGCGAATCCTCTGGAAGACAACCTTAAGGACATCACAGACGTGGCCCCCTGTCGCAAGCGACGCTTTCGTCACCTCGGAGCCCCCGACCCTGCGGTTAAAAAACCGAACACACAGAGCTCCCAGAGAAAGAGGTACGTGACTGCACTGCATTACATCAGCAGCACAAAACACAGCCAAAACATGTGACGATGCACATGTTTTGGCTGTGTTTTGTGCTGCTGTAGTTTGTTTTGACGATGTAATATGTAAAATACAACATAATATTCTCCTGCTTTATGGTGTCATAAATGTCTTTCTTGGAGCAGTTTACTGGTTCTGTAGTTAGAAAACTGTTTAAATTAGTTAATTTAGCCAGGGTGTGACACCTCCAGCCAAGAATAGGACAAAAAACATACATTAAATCTATTTTAACACACTTTATTTTAACAAGTTGTGGTTGAAAACCACCTCCCTTCTCTTCTGTAGTGCAAAAATACAAAATACATGATCTTGAGGATCATGTCCAGCTTGAATTGCTTTGTGTTTACTATAACCTTTCTTTGCAGATCCATCTGTTGTCTCGTCTTTCCTTTGCCTTTTCCTCCTTCTCCCTCCTCCCTCTCTGTTCTTACTCCCTTTGTATCCCCTTGAATGGGAAAGTCAAACATCATAAAAGTTACTTGTCAGGGATCTTCTTTATGTTGGGTAATTACAGGCAATCTGCAGTGGATCTCTTTGGACCTGTACCTTGAGATTGTTGGAGGTTGCCCCGTCCCAAATTGCCGTTGAGCTGCACGTGAAGTGCAAACAAGACTAAAGTGGCAGCAAAGCTAATCTCATTCATAAGATAGCAGTAGCTTGTAAACCTGATTGAATGCAACTGAAATCAGTGACGTAAATATGTGAAGGAATGTGGGGAGCAGTGCAGCAAAGTGTGTGTTTCACAGGGGGACACAGACACACAAACATTTACAAAACAACACTGTTGTTTAAGATGAAATTCAACAGACGAGCAACTGTAAGTCAAATAGCTGAAACGGTGGTTCTGCCACAAAGCAAAACAGGTTCAGGAACGTTTTGAGAAATGCAACAATGAGTTCAAGGTGTTGACTTTGCCTCCAAACTCCCCAGATCTCAATCCAATTGAGCATCTGTGGGATGTGCTGGACATAGAAGTCTGATCCCACCTAAAGGATCTGCTGCTAACGTCTTGGTGCCAGATACCGCAGCACACCTTCAGAGGTCTTGTGGAGTCCAGGCCTTGACGGGTCAGGGCTGTTTTGGCAGCAAAAAAGGAGGAACTACACAATATTAGGCAGGCGGTCATAATGTTATGGCTGATCAGTGTATATTGTATTTATACTAAAATTTGAGATAATCAGCTCGTGGTGCTAAAATCCATTATGGAAACCCAAACTGGTGTTGTTTATGTCTGATTTATTGAACTACATGCAGACAGTTGATGGGGTAAAAATGAGCCCTTTATTCCCTCAAACAGTTGGTCTGGTCCTTGGTCAGACAGTTTGGTCCGATGTCTGCAGTTCGATCAGTCCCATGGTCCTATTTCCAACAAGGCTGCTGTGAAAAGATCTGTTATAAACTGTAGGGAGCTTGTTTTAATGTTACTGCAGTGTTGTGGCTAAAACTGCAACCTTGTGACTGTGAAAACTAAACTTCACTGCAGAACAGATGGACCAGACTGTCACAAAGTAATGCTGACTCTTTCTGTTTTTAGTCAACATTATAGAGAGCACTGCCGTCTTGTTTGAATAAACTTTATTTAAATTGTCAGTGGATGAAAGTGATCTGGGGGGTCATGTTTATGTACCACGTCGTGACCTGTCGGTTGATTCATACAACACAAAACCAGCAGGTTGTGATCGAGCAGAAAGCTCAATTAAAACGTGTAGTATGAGTTAACACAACCCACACAATGAATAAGGATATCTTGAAGAAGTCCTTATGAGAATCCTTCCTCTACTTCTGGTCGTAGGAGGTGGAATGTTTCCTGTTCTGAAGAAGCCAGTTTTCATGTCACCGTACACTGAACTACATATACTGAACAAAATTATAAGCGCAACACTTTTCTTTTTGCCCCCATTCATCATGAGCTGAACTCAAAGATCTCAGACTTTCTGTATGAACACAAAATGCCTATTTCTCTCAAATATTGTTCCCAAATCTGTCAAATTCTGTGTTTGTGAGCACTTCTCCTTTGCCAAGATAATCCATCCACCTCACAGGTGTGCCATATCAAGATGCTGATCAGACAGCATGGGTATTGCACAAGTGTGCCTCAGGCTGGCCATAATAAAAGGCCTCAGGCTGGCCACAATAAAAGGCCACTCGAAAATGTGCAGTTCCATCACGCAGCATAATGCCACAGAAGTTTTGAGGGAGCTTGTAGTTGGCAAGCTGACTGCAGGAATGTCCACCAGAGCTGTTGCCCGTGAATTGAATGTTCATTTCTCTACCATAAGCCGTCTTCAAAGGCGTTTCAGAGAATTTGGCAGTACATCCAACCGGCCTCACAACCGCAGACCCCGTGTAACCACACCAGACCAGGACCTCCACATCCGGCATCTTCACCTCCAAGATGGTCTGAGACCAGCCACCCGGACAGCTGCTGCAACAATCGGTTTGCATAACCAAAGAATTTCTGCACAAACTGTCAGGAACCATCTCAGGGAAGCTCATCTGCATGCTCGTCTTCCTCATCGGGGTCTCGACCTGACTGCAACTTCACACAGCCAATGAAAAGGAGTGGACCAACACTCCACAACCTGATCAACTCTATGTGAAGGAGATGTGTTGCACTGCGTGAGGCAAATGTTGGTCGCACCAGATACTGACTGGTTTCCGGACCCCCCCAATACAGTGAAACTGCACATTTTTCATTATGAATGGGGGCTAAAACAAAAGTGTTGCGTTTATAATTTTGTTCAGTGTATGTGACGTGGTGCTGCAGAGCTCAGAGGACAGGGGAGGATGTTGCGGCTGACGACAGAGTAGAAACAGAAGACCAGCAGTGTGACCTTGTTCCAGTGTCCGAGCTCTTGTAGTAGCAGTTTCCAATCCCGTCCCCTCTCAGTTATGCACAAAGAAAACGGCCAGCTGTGCACCTTTTTTAGGGCGTTTTCACATTTACAACATTCCTCTGAGAGGGAATATCAATTCAGCTCTCGAGCGTTTATTGGTGATAAAAGAGCATCGTTGTCCTACAGGTTTATGATTTCTGCTGCTGGGCTTTGCTTCAAGATTCAGTCTTTTCTATCTTGACCGTCTGTTTAAATCTTTAGCCTTACAAACACATGCTGCCTTTGCTTTAGGCGAGCCAGCCGGCGATGAGCAGGCGGGTTAGCCTCAGGAGAGAAGACCTTTTCCACTGTGGACTTTATGTGAACACACAGCTCCACTAATGAATGTGTGGAAGACATCAGGAGGCTGCAGCAGCTCCCATCATCCAAACTGTTGAGAAGAATGTTAAGTGGCTGGTTCACAAAATTATAAAAAAAAAAAATACTTTTGTCACTTACCTCTTGTGGTAACTGCGTGGCTACTGGGTGTCCACCAACCTGGACTGTTGTGTCCAACTGGCCGGGGGGGGGGGGTGTATCTGCATGATGTGATAGGTCACATCACGCAGATACCATTCAGTTACAGTCATTACAGTGAGCTGCTGACTCCATATTTAGTGCCACAGTAATGTCCCGTTACCTCACATCAAAATTAAGTGTACAGATTAGAAATTCATGGAAAAAAGAGCGCTGATGTCAGATCAGTACTCACGGTATGTGAGTTATCCTGAGTTGAGGTATCAGGATCTGAATCAGGAGAGAAAAGGTGGATCCCAAATGGATAGATATATCACAAGAGGTAAGTGGGGGAAAATGTGTTTTTCATAATTTGGGTGAACCAAACATTTCATTTCTTGAATTTTCTTGAATGCAATTACTCTCAGGTCTGAACACAGTGTAGCGGAGGGGATTCTGAGGGAGGTCTAGGACTTGAACTGAGGAGCCAAAGTCAGTCACTGGTCTCAAAGACGCAATTATACAACTTTCTTCTTTTCTCTCTTTCTCTTTCTTCTCCTCACACTCCTCCCTGTTGCTGCACATCCAAAACCTCACAATACTAGTGCTCTCGCTCCCCCGTTTGCCAGTTTCTTTTTGGATGTGGCCATTTAGAAAATATTCCAAAGACACGTCTTAATCTGACGTTGTTTTCTGTAGCCCTCCAACAGAGGGTGAATATACTGTGTCCAGGCTTCTCCGAGTGCCAGCCACTGTAAACTGTGCCACATGCAGATGGCCGTAAGTGGTGCCATCCATCCCCAGCTGCTGTCAGTAGTTGGTAGTGGTGCCCATTATCGGGGCTTATTACCAGCTCTGACTGCTACAGAAAGAAGTAGCAGTGAGCTGACGAGCAGCTGTGGCTGGCTGGATGTTTGATCGCTGCAGTGGCTCACTGCAGAAGCTGCTCCCCCTCTGAGCTGGCAAACAGCAGCTGCAGAAGAGAGGCCTTTGTCTGAGAGGTGGCTGGTAATGTGGGGGGTTCAGGGCTGTTGGCAGTCCTACACCCAGCTATTGTATTTTCCATTTCCATCACTACTCAACCCATTCACCTCCCTCTGTTACCTACATGTTTTTCTGCATGCAGGCCGTCCACAGAGAGGAGGAGGAGGAGGAGGAGGAGCAGAAAATGAAGGGTGTGAAAGAGCCTGAAGAAAATTAAATGCAGGCCACATGTCCAGAAGACACGGAGGACTAATTAAAGGGATAGGTTTACACTTTGGGAAATAAGAGAGTGTGATAAGAAGATTGATCATTGGTTTGTTAAATACAGAGCTGGTGTCAGGTTGGTTAGCTTAGCTTAGCACAGAGATGGCAGCAGAGGGAACGGCTAACCCAGCTCTGTCCAAAGTTGAAAAAAATGCTAAAACACCCTTTAAAGCGCTTTAATTAACTATTAATTAATTTAATTTAATTAACGCTTTAATTATGTTGTATCTGATTAGATACTGATTAGCGCAGCTTCCTGAAGTCTTGTCATCACAGTGAGGTTAGCCAGATTTGGCACCATCATACCTGTACAGAGACCAAACCCTGTGCTCACTGACCAGATATTGATGATTCAGCCAGAGGAAGTTCCATCCAAGTTCTAGAAGTGCTCCAACTGTGAGTCACCTAACTTTGAACGGGAAATTTTCACCCCATTTGTTCCCATTTAGCTCTATAGACAGAGACACTGCTGTAAAGGCCTGGGCGGATGAATACACGGTTATTTGTCAGTTCAAGTAATAAAACCACATAGTTTTTACATTTGTTTGTGTTCATAATAAACAAACAAGACCCATGTTTATTTGTGAGCTTTAGAGATGTTGGCAGGGGAACTTTAGACACAGCCATGCTAGCTGTTTCCCCCTGCTTCCAGTCTTTATGCTATGCTAAGCTAAGCATGTCCTTACCCCAGCTCCATACTTGACACAGACATGAGATTAATATCCATCTTCTCATTTCAACGTTGGAAAGGATGCTAATATGTGTACTTTCCAAAATGTCAAACTATTTCTGTAACAAGAGTCTTTATGTATCTCTAGGTTGAACGCTTCCTTAAAGTCAAGTTTTGAGTTTTGGTTGTCAGGATCTTCAAGTTCTCATTTTGACTCATTGTAGTTCCTGTTAATGTGACCTTCAGATCCAAGAGTTTGTGTACTCTGAGGACTTTTTTCCCATGAACAGAACCACACTCTCTGTCTCCTTCGCACACGGACTGGTTCTGTAAACTATCAAACACCGCTCGTAGCCATCACAGATAATCGCTACAAGACATGGGACTGGTACAGCCTTACTTGTGTAGGCTTACTTTAGCTTTATAGTGGAATCAGCACAGAGGTTCTGTTGTACTGTCCCCCTCTAACATGATCTAACTGAGCTGTAAAATCATCACATTTGTATAACATATGAAAGGAGTTTATGATCAGGTTTGCTTATGGGTCTGTGTTGCTCTCAGAGGAAATAATCCATTACAGCAGTGGTTCCCAACCTGGGGATTGGGAGCCCCCAAAGGGTCACAAGATACATTTCAAGGGTTACAAGATAAATGACAAGATGTGGAAATATGTTTTTTTTATTGTGAATTGGGGAATAGTGTTACCTCTTCAGGTTTCTATACAAATGAAACACAATAAACAAGTAGACATGGCTTTGCTTTGAAGAGTCACAAGGCAAAAATGTTGAATGAACCATTGTACTAAAGGGTCAGTTCACCCAAATAAAAAACGACCAACTAACAAAGTAAATATTTTCTTACTTAAACCTAGTTGTGTCCATGTAGGTGGTGTTTTTGAATTGAGATTTTGAACCACTTTCTTCCGAAGGAATCGTCTCCACGAAATCAGTTTAAGACCAGTTGGCACAGTGAAGCTTGTCTTCATGAAATCTTGGAGACCTAGCTCTAACTGAGCTCTATGGGCTAGCTAACATATAAAACTGTAATTTAGCAAGCTTGTGAGCTCTGTTGCTAAGAAGACAGTAACTTTAGTTTATTCAAAAGATGTTTTTGCTTCATCAACTCCTGTTTCATAATTGATACAAACCAGGTCTCTGTTTCAAAGCAGTTTAAACTCCAACAGAGGAGCTTAAAAACATTTACATTTATTGATTTAGCTGACGCATTTATCCAAAGCGACTTACAATTGCTATATATATCAGAGGTCGCACGCCTCTGGAGCAACTAAGGGTTAAGTGACTTGCCCGGGCACACAATGGTGTCTGACAGTGGATTCGAACCCAGATCTCTCAGACCAAAGGCATGCATCCACTGCGCCATCAACACCCCCCCAAAAAACTGGATGTCGACACACCGCTAATAAGCTACAATAGCTTCCTTCATTTTGGACTCTCTGGCTTCCTGTTTCCTCAAACGTCAACTCAACAGCTCAAATTATTTTGTTTGTAGTTCACCAGAGTTGAGCTTGACCTAAAAGATTCTCACAAATTGACTTCAGCGCAGCTAGCGAAGCCACTAATCGCGGCGTTTCCATTGAGCTTATTGAGATTAATAATTTCTCTGTTTTAAATGATATTGTAGTTGGACCTTGAAGGTGTATTCAGACTGGATACAAAGTAGATATTTTGCCTTGGATAATTTGCATCAGTTTGACACCTGGAGTGTTTTTGTGGTCCGTGTCATGCCCTATTGTAGCCACTGCAGAGACATTAGCTGTAGCTAGCTAGCAACGTACGAACAAACCTGTGTTAGTGGGTCAGAATTTGGCTGATCTCAGTGTTTTTGTTGTTTTACATTAGTTTTTCATTTTCCTCTTATCTCTGCTTTCATGAAGCGGATTCATAAAGTTAAATGCAGACTTTTTTTGTTTGTATTGACTTGAGATGCAATCACACCACCTCAAATTTAGCACCGTGTCCATTCTGAACACGCTTTAAAAGGAACACTGTATCTGGTCATAGATGCTGGTGTTGGTTTATTCAAAGCTGTGAGCATCACAAACAAAATCTTTTCAACTTAATTGTTCTGCGGTATAAGATGACGGATATTTACAAAACCTGGCCAACCAAATCCAACACTATCTGCATAGACATACCAATAGAGTTGAATGAAAACATGTTTTGTTTTTTTGTTGTTGTAATTATGTGCACTGAAGCTTTAAGTGGTACAACTTTTGGTTTAAAGTAATCCGTCTGCCCCGCTTGTTCCAAACCATACCTCTGTTTAGTTTCTTAAGCTACAAACTCGCACATAATTGGTGTACATGCTGTATGTCACCAGACCAGCTCTGTGTGGGGGCTGCACTGCGTCCAGTGTCTGAGCTTAACCTCACTTCTCAGGGTTGAAACTGCTCTCGTCAAGTCCCCCTCTGCCATGTGTTCAAGTCTCCGGTGGTCCTCCATGGCAGCATAGAACAGCTCCCCCTCTCCAGTGAACACATCTCTTGTTTCCTCTTAACTAGTTCCAGCAGTGCAGCAGTGTTTGTCGTACAGTTGGTAATGATTTAAACAAGCTCAGGGCCTCCCCTCTGTTCTACTTTCTCACACCGGCCTTTTCTTCTTGTTTCCATTCAGCTAATCAGCGTTAACAGTGGGTCTGGATTGGAGGGAAAAAGTCTATAATCTTGTGTCCTGGTTTTCAGAATATCTTTACTCGTCGTCCTTCAGAAAGCTCCTCGTGACTTACAATTCAAGATGCTTCTCTAGATTGCGGATGTTCCTCGGGTCACGTTGGATTGAGATTCGTCAGTCATCCGCACATGCAGTCAGGTTAGAGGTGAGAAGGGCTCCATGTTGTATGGTTTATAACAGGGGAACGGTAGTTACCTCTCTACACAGGTTTTATTTTGATTTTATGCAACATTCATTCTCTATCTGCTTTTGTACAGTCTAGACCTGCTCTCTGACATGATATGATGTGACTTTATTAACCCCCGCAGGGGAAAGTTCGGTCGACATAGCAAACAAACAAAGGAATATAAAAGAACAGATGCAGTATTGTAGAACAAATACAGTGAGATAACTACTGTTATAAATTGGCAGTTTATAAATAAAAATTAATTGAATTTTGTCTCTGAAATTCTGGCTAAGTCTAAAGTTTCTGTCCTGACTGGTTTACTCAGCCTCCTATAAATTCCTCAAAGTTGGGAACATGTTCACGCGTATGAGGAGGTCACATGACCAGACGCGACCACGTCCCAAACAAGCCCCCCAATCTTCGGCACAAAGTTACAGCTAACTTACCTACACATTAAAACAGTAGCTAAATGTTTTTGTTATGAACAATGTCAAGAGCACTGATGCTTAAATCTGCAGTAACTGGTTTTGTGTCATTTAGGGGCAGCGGAAACATTTTGTACAGTGAACATGTTAGTGAGCGGTTTCCTATTTCCATTTCAAACAGAGAGCCATATTAACATTTATTTGGAGTGGTGTTTGTGTCCACCTGATTAATGTCCAAAATTCAGTCTCTTTTAACTAATGAGGGCGGTGGGAGTGAATCATACGGTGATGTTTAGGCCGGAGAAGCATGTTTCATTAACATTAAAGGAAAAGTTAATTTACTTCTTTTTAAAAACATATCTGTACAGTAAATATGGAGCTACAACCAGCAGCCGGTTAGCTTAGCATAGAGACTGTAAACAGGGGAAACGTGCCTACCAGGCCCTCCAAAGCTCACAAAGTATCACGTTCTATCTCGTTTGTTTAATAACCAAAGTGTTATTACAACAACACAAGGGCTTACGTGCTGGACTATTTATTTGTTGCCCACCTGTAACGTTTTAGAGTCTCTGCTGATTGTTTGGCAACAGCTCGTATCCAGAAAAAAGTCTGGCACGTAATCCCCTGTGAGATGGCGATTTAGTGTTTTTACACTTAAAAGCTTCTGTACGGCTTCAAACAAACAAGATATAACGTGTTAATTAAATTAGCTTCAGAGGTGTTCGTAGGTGGATTTTCTTACCTCTGAACTGAGTCAGACTAGCTGTTTCCAGTCTTAATGCTAAGCTACGAAGCTAACTAGCTTTATATTTCATGTGTGGTTTCAGTCTTTTCATCTAACTCTCACCCATAAAGTGCACTTCCCAAAATGTCAAACTATTCCCTCAAGATCTGAGTCCCTTCAGTTGGCCTACATTTGTGCTTTCCGTCACCCTTGATCTAGTCTTGCCCTCCTTCCTCTGCAACCCACTGTGCATCTTTGATCCTTCTTTCATCCTCAGTATATCTGACATTTTGTTTCCTAACTCCTAAACATCACATGGCGTTGCATTCAAGTGAGGACAGAATATATAAGCTTATATAGAGCTGAGACAGGAGGAGAACATGAGCCTCTACGTGATAAAACACACCGGTGGTCAAGTCCAGCATTTGATGTAGACCACATAAGGTGGGGGAGCTGCTGGGCCACAATTACACACACACACACACACACACACTGAATGGACCTACCTACACACAGGTATAAAAGTTGCCCATGTGTTTCTAGTCTTGCACCTTATGGGCCACATGATGCACTTCCCGTCTCAACAGGAAAACTCTCCTGTAAACCAGCCTCATTAGCCCACTGACCTGTTCTCGCTCTCTCTTGTATGTGTGTGTGCAGGACCGACCCCCCTGCAGGATCCAGTAAGGAGCAGACGCCCCGGCGCTCAACAGATGCTGCAGCAGCAAGTTCAGCAGCAGAGGACCTGTTTGAAGACTTTTGACCCTGCATAGAGAGAGAAACATGAGAACAGCACTGGTTTATGTTGCAACGGTGTCATATTTTTATACTGAGTTTGTGTATTAGGATCATGAAATTATTTATAAGGAACAACAGGTGGGTGACAAATGAAGGCGATAAAAAAAACAACAAAGTGGTAAGATGTTCCACCTCAAGAATACTCGTAGGTTCTCCAAGTCTGTGGAGAGATGAAAATCATTCTTCCGAAATGTATTCACTCATTTGTTGTTTTGACGATGGTGGTGGATACCATGGTTGTTTAAATACCTAAAGGATCCCTAAAATCACAAGAACCACCTCAGAATCCTAATGTAACACTAGAACCAGCGAAAGGAACTCTTAAACGTCCTAAAGGATCACTAGACCCAACCTAAGGAACCCTAGAACGTCCTAAATGATCATTACAATCACCTTAAAGAACTCTAGGACCTTCTAATGTAACACTAGATCCACCCTAAGTAACAGTAGTAATGATCATTACAATCACCTGAAGAAACCCTATAACGTCCTAAAGGATCACTACAACCTCCTTAAGGAACCATAGAACACCCTAGATGATTTTTAGAACAGAACCACCTCAAGGAACCCTAGAATGTCCGAAAGGATCACTAGAGCACCCTAAATGATCATTACAATCACCTGAAGGAACCCTATAACGTCCTAAAGGATCACTAGAGCATCGTAAATGATCATTACAATCACCTGAAGGAACCCTATAAACTCCTAAAGGATCACTAGAAACACCTAAGGGACCCTAAAATATTCGAAATGATCCAAGAACCACCTAACGATCCTAGAAGATCACCCAAAGAAACCATTGAACATCCTAAACGATTGTTAGAACCACGTAAAGGATCCCTAGAACATTGTAAATCATTGTTAGAACCACCTACAATAACCCTAGGACCTCCTACAGGATTGCTGCAACCACCCAAAGATTATTAATGATCGCTAGAACTGCCAAAAAGTCTCAAATGATCTCTAGAACCACCTAATTGACTACTAGAACGTGTGATCTGGTAAGGCCACAGTGAGCCTCAATGTCATGCACGGAAGAATCTGCTTTCAGTATGTTCCTCCAGTCACCTCTTCAGGCGTTCCCTTTCATTTGTGGCCTGTCTGAAGTTCTGTAGAATCACTACGTATTTTAAACACTTTTGTAATGTGCTTCATGAACTGGAAATGAATTGTGACTTTTAGATATTTACAAACTTGTCATTTTAATATTTGTACCAATAAACAACATGAACGTGTTATTTTTTTTCATGTAAATTACAAGGTTGTTTGTGTTTATTTTTTAAATGACCTTTAAAGGGGAACTCCATTTTACATGTCAATATCAATGCACTAGTTCAGAGGGGTTCTTGCGTCTCGTTCAGCATTTCTTTCACCAGTCGATCTGAAAAAGTGACGTGCGGTCCTGTGTTTTGCTTTCCATATTCTAACACTAAGTCCACTCATAGCAGGTAATATTAAAAAAATGCTGACCTCTGTGGTTTTAACAAACTTAAAACAACAATACAAACAACAACGGCGATCAAAAACAACAGGTCCCATGAAACCTGATCAGCAAGGCAGAACAAGAACTTAGACCACCGTACCTTGGTTTCAACCCTATTTATAAATCTCACCTTTCCAGCTTTAATAAATCTCTGGTGTCTAAAAACTTCTACAGCGTCGACTCTGTTCCGCTGTTATTTCAGACGTGAACGAATTGGAACTCCTGGACTCGCTCATGGACTCTTCTGTCGAGCCGTGACGTTTAATGTTTGGTCTGTGGACTCGAGCAACACAGTCACGCGCATCGCTTGGTTGCCATTGGGAAGTCTAAAGAGACGCAAAGCATTTTGGGGCGGTTGAGTGTGTCCAGTAAACTCACAGCGCAGAAATTCCTGCTAATCTAGTACACATAGGGCTTTTCTCACAGTGAGAGTAGTACGTTGGTAGAGATTCTTGATGTGTTCAAAATCAAAAAGCATACTTTTTCTTTTTACTCGTAGTAGCAGCTGCCCTTACAAATGACGTATAATATGATATACATACTACTTCGGGTCAGAATAGCCAGGAAAGCATGCTGGACTGCAGGCATGCTGCATTTGACGTCATATGTAGTGGGACTTTCTAAATATTTTTCATATGGTAATGTGACAGTTGAAACAGGGACCCTCTGTTTAAGGCTGGATCTTTAGTTATTAGTGTTGTTACAGATGTCAACAGGATTTTTAATGAGGGGTTGTTAATTCTGGAACAGAATCTGGAAGTTCTGGTTTCACTTCGGCTCTGAATAGTGTCACCTCTGAGGGGGTTTCAAACCCACCTTTAATGCTTTTTCTGACCTTTTTTTTTTTTTAGTTAATTAAACTAGACTTTCCAAAGGTTTCATGTTTTGAGGTCAAATTTTGATCTTTAAACACTTGATTTCCTGCATTCTGGTGAAAGTTTCTGCACCAATCTATGGTGGAAATGTTTTTATTTATGGATAAGGAAACACAAAAATCAGGAGCAGGTGACATTTCAAAATATATAAAAATAATAGAATTTAAGTCAGTGCAGCTCTCAGACATTCTGTGCTGCTTTCAGATCTATTTTCTCCAGTAAATCAACTTTTCTCATGTAACAGCACATATGTAGGCATGATTTAGTCTTCCTCCTCTTATGTCAGGTTCACAGGGAGAGAACAGAAAACTTGGGCAAAAAAGAAACTGTGTCCAGAAGTTGTTAAAGCTGTTTACTGCTGCTGCACATTTTGGGGTTATTTTATAACCAGTAGCTTGTTTGTTTTGGTTTAAGTTACTTTTTTTGGACAATGCACATTTGTTTCTTCTATATTTTAATTGCATTTCATGTTTTCTTAATTTTGAAATAATAAAAATAATAATTAAAAATAATTTGAAAACCTTTCTAAATGTATTTTCATTTGTTATTTAACTACAAGCCATATTTCAGAATTGATTTTTTTTTTTTTTTTTTGCTTAAAAAAGTGGTGGGGACATGTCCCCAGCGGCGCCAGTGTAAATAACACCAGTAAAAATCAAAAACGTGAGTGTTTGCCTGGCAGGGAGAGATCAGATCTAAGGCTGTGATTGAGTTGCATTTTGTGAAATGTGTTTTTGGAGCTTGACCCATATTAGGGGTGAAAAGTCAGGAAATCCCTACTGCACAGAATTAGATGTTTAAAAAAAAATCTCTCTTGCAACTTCATGGAAGAGCAACTCTAAATCAGTGAAGTGACCCTTTAATGTCTCTCTCTCCAACTCATGCTTTCCCCATTCTCACTTCCTCCATCTCCACCTCTCTCTCTTTCTCTCATCCACTCAGTTTCTCTTTTTGTCGTCCTCATACCGCCCCCCCCTCTCTCTCCCTCTCTCTCTCCCCCTCTCTCTCTCTCTCTCTCTCTCTCTCTCCGGACATGTGCGCCCCTCCTCTTCCTAATGTCTGGATAATAGTGGGTGTGAAGTGGATTTGAACTTGCAGCCGGTCCTGAGAGGTGGATGAGGTCTGACCAGCAACACGTCTCCTGCACCGCTGAAACAAACGCTGCTGTTTATTTGGGACCTCCGGGAATTTCATTTTGGAAAAGTTTGATGTGATTAAACCTGAAGCAAGACAACTGGATTGTTTGACTTTTTTCTTTTTTCTTTTATTTACAAGGTAAGTTATTGAATTTTTAAAAACATTTTCTTGCTGAACGTCCTGCACAGAATGTTATTAAATGTAAAATCTCGTGAGATTCACGGAAGATTAATGTGCACCATAAATAGCCTAAACGATTATTTCAGCTGTTAATCCGCAGTTGATGCAGCAGTCTGCGTGTTTCTCATCCTCTCTGCCACCGGAGCTGCTGATCTTCTGGGTGGGCAGGAATGTTCCCACACTGATAAACTAAATGATAAGCGACCTATTGATAGTAATTGACACTTGGGATCAATTAGGACCATTTACATCCACTGACAGTTTAACCACTCGATCTCTTGATAAGCTTTATCACCGCAGCTGTGCTCTAATCTGCTCCTTCCTACAGCTGTGATCACACATCTGTCTCTAAATCAATCCAGACTTTTCCCTTAAATTAAACTTTTTCCTCATTTGCATGTCAGGTGAAAAGTATAGAGTCAAAAATAATAGAAATAATAATTTATTCCTAACGTAGAACACGTTCATTGTCGACATAATATACTATAAGAATGAACTTTTATGGTCCAAATATATACAAGTTAAACTCCAGGAACTTGTTTATAATAAATATTATGGGGATTGTGTCATGAATACATTTATGTACATGCAGTAGGTTTACACAGTGCATACATTGGTGTAAGATGTACTCAGATTCAACAGGAAATTAATCAGCAGCTATTTTAATAATTAATAATTTCAGCATTTCATAATTTGTTAGTTCCAGCTTCTCTTATGTAAATGATCTGTGTCTCAGTTTTAGGCTGTAGTTAATAGAATATTGTTGTGTGTTGGCCAAAATATGATATTTGTAGTCATTAAATACAATTTTGTTTTATTTCATAATATAAACTTTCATCAAATAACAATATAATAATCAATGAATCTCACACAGATTATTGAAAATAATTGTTGCAACACCAACATCTAAAAATACTCCATAACAAGTGAAAGTCCTGCATTTAAAGAAGTATTATCAGCTAAATTAAAGTACTCATTATGCAGCAGAACTGTCCCTGCCAGTTTTTTGTTGTTCCATATTATAAAATTTAATAATTATTACTGATTCTTTACTGTGTATGAAGCTTTTTAAAGTGCTTTAATTTTTTGTCCTGTTGCTTCACTTTGATGGTTTATGACATCACAAGTTTGGAGCCAATCAGGATGAAACTTGAAACCTCCAGGTTACAAACACTGAGAATAGACTTCTTAATGAGGGAGGATGCAGCTTGTGTGTCCAGCAGTTTTTAGTTTTGAAATGTAAAATAAAATTTACATTATTTAATAAAAATAAAGGATGTTGATGAATCTGCAGCTTCCTGATTAATTGATTAGGTGTTTAGGTGTTAGTAATATGTTTCCACAACACATTAAACTGCTTGTTTGACCAACAGTCCTGAACTTAAACAGTTTATCATCTTTTTTGGAAATGGAAAAGCATCAAATGCTCCATTCAGAGACTTTGGAACCAATAAATGTTTGTCTTGAAAAATAACAATTGATCAATTATTAAAAAGTAATTTTCTGTCAATTGACTAATTTTTGCAGCTTTATGTCAGATGAATGTAGTGAAGCAAAGAGTAAATAGGAATGGAAATACTTGAGTTAAGTACCCCAAAATTGTAAGTACTTAGTTACTTTCCACCGTGACTCTCATCAGCATCATTTATAATCTGATTCTCTGTTTCTACAGATCGTGTTGAGATGATTCCACACATCCTCACACACCTGCTCTGCCTGGTGTGTGTGTGCTCTGCTCGTCCTCAGCCAGGTGAGTCGAGTCCAGCAGAAAGTTACAGGAACCCAAATCCAGACTCTGTCACCCGTCTCCCTCTTTTCCCCTTCGTCATTCTCTCTCTCTCCCTCTTGACGTAGACGTAATATCACATGAGCCAGAGTGCAGGTCCAAGACTGACAAGGTGGAAAGTGATTATTACTCCAACACCAGACACATTCACTCTGAACACATGCTTTCCAGTAATCCCTGGTTACACACATACACACACAAGTCTGAAAGCTGCAGCCACTCCTCCACGGCCTGTTATGAAAACTGCTTTATGTCTTACATCATGTGTCCATTGTGTTTCACATCAGTTTGGAGAAATTGCATTTATTCCAAGTAAATGACTGAAAAGATAAAGATGTCTTCTTTTCCTGTGATGATCTTTCATTAAGTCCAGGGGTGGAAGAAGTACCCAAAGCCGTACATCAGTGTAGAATTACTGTTTACTTAAGTTAAAGTACAAAGGTAGTAGCATCAAAATATACCCAAAGTAGCAAAAGTAAAAAGTACTCATTGTACAGAATGACCCGTACTAGAGTATGTGTTCATCATCACTTTAATGTTGCAGCTGGTGAAGGTGTATTTCATTTTAATTACGTTATATGCTGCTGGGTAGTTTAATCTATAATAATATATCATAACGTATTAGTTTTAATTTGTACATTTTACTTTTACATTTCGGGCTTGTAGCAGACGCTTTTGTCCAAATTGACTTCGGAAGTGAAAAAGCAATAGATCGATTTTGGGAGAGTAAGAATGTTGATAGAACATGTTTCAAGCACTCATAATTGCCATTATTAGGTCAGCCAATGCTGGTAGTCATCAAAGATAGCTAGGCTAAAGATGCTACACAGTGGCAAGTACTATTTTTAAGAGAGAGGGTGTACAAACATACAAGTGAGTAAGAGGTTTTTTGGAGGCGGGGTTAAGGAGGGAGGCTCTGCAGAGTCCAGGTCAACAAGTGAGTCTTCAGTGTCACGTGGAAGCTGGTGAGCGACTCCGCTGTCCTGAGATTTAATAATTGTTAATTAAGGAACTAAGGAGTTAATAACAGTCTGTAAACTCTGTGCAGCCTTGAGCAAGTTGTCTCAGATATCTTGTTTGTGTCACTAAAAAGCAAAAAAGCAAATCTATTGTTCAGGGATGAAAATATCGATATGACAGAGAGAGATTGGGCAGTTGGTTGGTCATGATGTTCAGTGTCAGACTGGATTAGGTAAAAAGAACAACGTGTTTGACACACACATGTACTCATGCAGGATCCTGTTTTCCAGCGTTACCACACTCTGTGACGGTGGAGAAGAACCCCTCTGTGACCGGCTCTCTGGCAGGCAGGGTGGTGCTGCCGTGCCACTTCTCCACAATGTCAGTTTCTCCATCACAGAGCACACACACAACCACGCCAGGACCTCTGCTCCCCGGTAACGCCCCTCACGCCAGTCCTGAGGAGGGGGTGAGGATCAAGTGGTCAAAGGTGGAGCGGGAGGGGGAGACCGTGGTGCTGGTGGCCCAGGGAAGAGTGGTCAAGGTGGGGCAGAAATACAGGAGCAGGGTGTCGGTGCCCAGCCATCCGTGGTCCGTCGGGGATGCCTCTCTGATGATGGTGCTGCTCAGGGCCAGCGACGCAGGGCTTTACCGCTGTGAGATCATGCAGGGGATGGAGGAAACTCAGGACACCGTGAGCCTCAACGTCTCCGGTGAGTAAAACAAAAGCACTCTGCCAATTCTGCACTTTTATAGGTCGATATCAGGAGTCTACAAACGTGTTCAGCGACTGAATCCAGATGTACTGAGTTGGCAGAGGCCTTCCTGCTTTGCACATGTTTTTTTTCTCTAAAGCTGCACTAATCAATATGTTTATATTAACATTGGATTAACAGACTCTGTGTAATGTG